TCCCCATCCCCATGTCCCGGTGTCCCCATGTCCCCCCAGTGTCCCTCCGTCCCCGTCCCCACGTCCCCGGCCCCATGTGGCCACGTCCCCCCGGTGTCCCTCCATCCCCATCCCCATGTCTGGGTGTCCCCATGTGGCCACGTCCCCCCAGTGTCCCTCTGTCCCCATCCCCGTGTCCCGGTGTCCCCATATCCAGGTGTCCCTGTGTCTCTATGTCGCCATGTCCGGGTGTCCCCATGTCCCCCTGGTGTCCTTCCATCCCCATCCCCATGTCCTGGTGTCCCTCTGTCCCCATGTCCGGATGTCCCCATGTCCCCCTGGTGTCCCTATGTCCCCATGTCTGGGTGTCGCCATGTTCCCCCAGTGTCCCGCCATTCCCATCCCCATGTCTCGGTCTCCCTCTGTCCCCATGTCCAGATGTCCCCATGTCCCCCGGTGTCCCTCCATCCCCATCCTGGTGTCCCTATGTCCCCATGTCTGGGTGTCCCCATGTTACCGTGTCCCCATGTTACCATGTCCCCGCGGTGTCCCTCTGTCCCCATCCCCATGTCCCGGTGTCCCTATGTCGCCATGTCCGGGTGTCCCTCTGTTCCCGTGTCCCCATGTCTGGATGTCCCCATGTCACCCCGGTGTCCCCATGTCCCCCAGTTTGGCCGGACCGAGGTCATCGACAACTCCCTGAACCCCGACTTTCTGCGCAAATTCGTCCTCGACTACTTCTTCGAGGAGAAGCAGAACCTCCGCTTCGACCTGTGAGTGTCCCCGCTGTCCCCAGGGCTGTCCCCCCCGGCCACCCCGGCCCCCCGCGCTCCGTCCCCATGTCACCCCGGTGTCCCCATGTCCCCCAGTTTGGCCGGACCGAGGTCATCGACAACTCCCTGAACCCCGACTTTCTGCGCAAATTCGTCCTCGACTACTTCTTCGAGGAGAAGCAGAACCTCCGCTTCGACCTGTGAGTGTCCCCGCTGTCCCCAGGGCTGTCCCCCCCGGCCACCCCGGCCCCCCGCGCTCCGGCACAGCCCCCCCGCGGCGGGGCTGGGTGCAGTGGCCCAGCCCGTGTCTGGGGACGCCAGGCGGGAGCTGGCGTCCGTCCCCGTCCCAGGCATGTCCTTGTCACCATCCCGTCCCTGTCCCCGCCCCCCT